AGTGCTGTGTCATCCCATAGCCTGGATTCCTTTGGCACTGGGGCTGATACAGTCTACTAATACAGAGGGCACCAAGTTTTAATCCCCCTTCAGAGTATTATAATTACTTGAGCTTTCAGTTCAACTCCACCAACGAATAAGGGAAAAATAAAATTTTCCCTTATTTTAATACATGCTGCTCTACTGTATTGAACATTTTTGCTTTGTTATTTGAGCCACAGTGACCTCTGTTGGTTAGTTATTAAATTAATATACAGGAATGTAGTACTAACTCCCCTCACCAAAAAAAGTCCATACCAAATATTTTAACAGCTGCAATATAATATTAAATTGTTCACAGACAAGATTTGGAACATTAATTGCATGTCAGGGTGCAAAGCTTTTGTTTTCTGTAGCTGAAAACAAATAGCATTCTTTCATTTGTACATGCTGCCAGTAAAAGTCATTTACCCATAAAAGACAATGCAGGAGGAAAGACTTAAGCCAACAAAGTAACTTTATTACAGTCGTAGGCCAGCATATACACCTAAGATCCCTCATGATTTGTAAATACAGGAGGAAAGATCCTTGGGGGGAATTGATGGAATATGCCTAAACAATCATTCTTATTTTACTATTCTTTTTTTCCATTTCTGACTGAGAGCACATCTAAAGGCAAATGGAAGGGGGATTTTTTTTTCTCTTGCTGCTATCCCCTAGAAGCTGTTCAGAAGTGAGTGGAACTTAGCTATATTGCAAGAGTTGGTCACTATGATGTAGACCAAATCAAGAAACTGACTCCATAGGAAGACTAGAACTATACATTTTATTGATAAAGGCTATAGTAACAGAAGTTTACATGCCTGACTGTGTTTTCCCTTCCCGCCCTCTAATACCGAGTCAGAGGGAGCCAATCTGAGTCTCTTTCTAGTACTTTCCTGCCTCCCTGGATTCAACATATGTTTCTGCACCTGTTGTTGTCTTAATGGCTTCTGGATGGCTTCTCCAAGGTCACTGTCAGCCCCAGTAGAAAATCAGCTCCACCATAAGATCAGAACTGCACTTGAGTTTGGCTACATACCCTGCGAATCTGATTGTGCCGTACCTTCTCCCCTTATATTCCAGGGAATTAGGGAGGTGACCTCCTGAATCATTTCCAAATATTATCTGTCTGCTGCAAACTTCAAATACATCCCCATTCCCCACCCCCACCCTGTAGCTGCCCTGACAATGGATCTTGCCTATCTCTGTCAAGGTCATATTCCTTACTCTACAGCCATCTCCATAGCTCTCAAGAGTCACAGTAGTGTTCACCCGACCCCAAGCATCCTAAAACTAAATTTGAAGTCATTTTAAAAATAAAAAATGGCTGAACCATTATGAGATCTTGACATTTAATGCAATTTCAGGTTGCTTCTTAAGGTATAGCCAAAAAATCTCTGGGATAAGGTCACTGAAATCTTGTAAGAAGATTTTGACCGGTTTCATTTCTGATGCCAAATTGCTGGGCCATTCCTTGGTTTTTATTTTATTTATGTGTGTTATGAGAATGCATGCAGAGTAGAATTTCTCTTCCCAATATAAATCACAGGATTGTGATGAATAGCTGGTAATCTATACATAGTTATGGATTTTGTTTTCATATTTTTCTTTGGATGTCCACAGTACCCTCTCTCTTATAATTCACAGTAGATGGATGTATCTTGATTGTTAAATGAAATTGCTGCCATGCATCACAGCTGAAGTTTCCTTTCCTTTTTCCTTAGAACTGGAGCCATCCATGTAGGAGATCGGATATTAGCTATTAATAATGTCAGCCTGAAAGGGAAGCCCCTGAGCGAAGCCATTCATCTACTTCAAATGGCTGGAGAGACAGTAACCCTGAAGATCAAAAAGCAAACCGAAAGTAAGTTTGGACTCCTCACTCTGAAGTATTCCTGTCTCAAAAGGATACAGAGATTTGAAAAAGTTTGGAAAGGTGCCCTTTTCCTCTGGCCTTCAGGAAAGGGAGCGTAGTGCCATGTTTTCCTACTTTTTTGTTTCAATGGATGGTGAAGACAAATCAAATGTCTTGTAATGTTTGAGCATCAGATTTGACAGGAAAGGAGGCCTATTCCTGAGTTTTTCTACAACTCAGTTCTCAGCAATTTTCTTAGAAATTTAATGCTGTACAGTATCAAAACAGATTTGAAAAGTTTGGAAAGATGCCCTTTTTCTCTGGCCTTCAGGAAAGGGAGTGTAGTGCAATGTTTTCCTACTTTTTTGTTTCAATGGATGGTGAAGACAAATCAAATATGCATTTTTAAAAGTTCCACCAGGGTTATCTCTGGACTGTTATCATTTAACAGTCCAATGCACTGTATCATTTGTTTCTACAATATTAAAACTGCTGTTCCTCTTAGACATTTAATAGGGTCACTTATTTATAGGAAACAGCAGCTTCTTGGAAGATTTCTTTAAAAACAAGGAGAGGGGGGAAATGCACAGAGCAGCAGTGACCCACTGATAGAGATCATCCTTATACAGTCACTTCAGAATCTGATTTAAGATGCTGACTAAGTGCTAGGCTGTCTCATTCATACATAGTATGTATGTATATATTTCAATTCTAACATAAAAAGCCAAGGACATTATAGTTCTTTTGTGTAACGTTTCTCTTTCTTCTTTGAAACCTAGCAAGCACCTGTGTTTTGATACTGTACAGCATTAAATTTCTAAGAAAATTGCTGAGAACTGAGTTGTAGAAAAACTCAGGAATAGGCCTTCTTTCCTGTCAAATCTGATGCTCAAACATTACACATCAGACTCTGTAGCCTGAGAGTTTCTTTTTCTTAACTTCATAATGCAGCAACAGTTTCTTGTCTGGAACAAAGGTTATTCTATACTGTACTGTACTGTACCGTACCGTACCGTACCGTACCGTACCGTACCGTACCGTACCATACCATACCATACCATACCATACCATACCATACTATACAATTCTAGGGTTGGAAGAGACCTTGGAGGTCTTCTAGTCCAACCCCCTCCCCAAGGCAGGAGTCTTCGTACCATCTCAGACAAATGGTTGTCCAATCTTTTCTTGGAAACCTCTAGAGATGGAGCACCCCAAGCTGTTCCACTGCTTAATAGTTCTCACTGTTAGGAAATTCCTCCTTATTTCCAGGTTGGACCTCCCTCTGATGAGCTTCCACCCATTGCTTCTTGTCCTACCCTCAAGTGCTATGGAGAATAAATCAACACCCTCTTCCCTGCGGCAGCCCTTCAAGTATTGGAAGACTGCTATTATGTCTCCCCTCAGTCTTCTCCTCGTTAAGCTAAACATACCTAGTTACTTTAGCCATTCTTCATAGGATTTGGCCTCTAGACCCCTTATCATCTTTGTTGCTCTTCTCTGCACTCTTTCTAGGGCCTCAACAGCTTTTTTGTATTATGTTTACATACATGCATACATAGATGTTTTTTGTTAAAGAGATTTTTAACAAACAATACAAATTTTAGAGAAGAAATAAAGAAAATAAAGTAGTGAACAGATAAGAAAGGAATAGAGAAAAGAAAAGAAGTAGAAAGGGGGAAAAAAAGAAAAAATTATAAAGAAGCAGTTTCCAATCTTCATAACAGTGGTTGTAGATCCATTTACATTTTAGCCTCTCTCTCTAAGGTTACATCATGATTTCCTTCTTTCCATAATCTACCCTTTTTAATCATCAAACTCATAAATCACAAGTTCATTTTTTTCTTTTTTTGGGAAAAAAGTCCATAAGGGGTTTCCAGTCACTGATAAATGTAGTAAGCTGATCTTTCTTTAAGCAAACAAGTTAATTTTGCCATCTCTCCTAGTTCTGTCATCTTCACCAACCATTCCTCCATTATGGGTAAAAGGATCTAACTTTCAAAGAAATAAAATTCACTTTCAAGTCCAACATGAGATGGAGGAACGGGTCTCCCTCCTTCAGCTACTTCCTTTCATAAAGACATGTCACTAAGTAGTCACTAAATAGTTTAATTTTCCTACCTGATGGAAAATACCATTTTTCTGCCTCACTCATTCAAGCTTTCAGCACAGAGTACTTTGTGGGAGCAATCTTTCACCTCTTCCCCATCATCATTCATATATTAGATCTCTATGATGGAAGACATGAGTGAGGAGGTCCAAGGTCATAGGGAGGGGGAGAGGAATCCCAAGCATCTTGCTTGTAGGTAAATGTACTTAAGGTCATTGGCAGCAGTGATCTGCATTTTTTTTTAAGTCTAGAAAAGTGCTATTTGTACATTTCTTATCAATTATGGCCTTGCAGGTTGAGGCCAAAAAAGATTTAAGAAAGAAGGAAAAACACCCTAACCTTGCTACAATGCTGAAGCAGCCTGCGTTCTCTGTGAGATATAGCATCAGGCCTGCATTTTGTGACATTTATGCATATTAGTTGGTTGTTACGACAGTATATAGTATAAAAGACACCAAACAAATTGTGGAATATCATTAACATTTTGTGCCTCCACATGCATCTTTCTTTGGATCCCAGGGACTTTTCCACAAAAATCTGGGAGTATGAATGAGGTCAGCGACATAGAGGATGATTTGGCTGACTCTCAGAAATCCAACAAGCTCTCCGAGGTGTATTCCACCACAATCCCCAGCGTGGATAGTGCCATGGAATCCTGGGATGGCTCGGGTATTGATACAGAATATGGAAGCCAAGGTAAGTTGGCCTTCCTGTTCCTTTGTGTGAGTATGTGAGTTACTACATTGTTTTCATTGCAACTCATTTCTGATAAAATGTATTTGTGTCCTCCAACTGTGTTATGAATTTTTGAGGAACTTTCAAAAAACAATGGGTCTGATGGACTGGGCTGGCTATATCCCTGCCTGTACTCACTATCAACACTATTATGAAGTGGGTCTCTCAAGACCTTAAAAGAAAGATTGTCAAAAGACCAAGCCACATCAGACTCCTGTATTTCCAACAGACAGCGTCTGCCCCAATAGTGCTGGAAAGAAGTAGATGGGGTTTATAGGGTTGGTGCAAGAGTGACAATCTGTCCTGCTCTCACACAAAATTGCATGTGTACCAGTGTACACTGTCATGCTCCCTTCTGTGGCCTTGGCAAGTGAATGTAGTGTCAATAAGTTGCTCAATACGGTGTAATATTTACTGGACAAATATACAAGTAGTGCATTCACTAGAACGCCTTAAGAGGTTAACCTTCCCTTAGCTGGCCCTCTCCAGCTGCATTAGGCTACAATTTTCATTGTTTCCAGCCAGCATAAAAATGCTACAGTGACTGGGATGGATGGGGAGTGTAGTCTAAGATCTCCAGAGAACTAGGCTGGGGGAAGGCTATATTAAATGATTGCCATGAGACTATTTAGTCTTTTCTCACCTATTCTGCCATCACTCCAAATTGCTATTTGCTTGTTGAAAGCAGGAGAGACCTATGTTATACCTACATAAACATATATTAATACCAGGCATGATGAATTCATGAAATAATTGCATTCTGCAATTTTTTTCTCTTTGACAAGAAGATGAATAAAGTTCTCTTTTTCATTTTTTCTATTTGACCAGGTCAGAATAATTTTAGGATATATAATTCTTTGTTGACTGTTCCACTTAGGGATGTTCATCAGAGAAAAAAAGGAAGCAGTAGTGAAGGATGAAAATCACAATATTAGATTGAAACTGGACCTTTTATTATTCCATTCTATAAATTTCTCTTGTTTTCATGGATGTTATGATTGCTGTGATTCTAAACATTTGGAGACATACACTTTGTTTACAGACGTTCTTGTCTAGAATGAAGGGTTTACAGATTAACCAATTGTTCTGGAAGTTTCCCTATCCTGAGGTATTGGGGATTTTGTGGATGGCGCTTCTCGACCCATTTCAAGCCAGTTGCCACAGAAAACTAATCTAACTGATGTGGTTCAGATGTGGGATGTTATGATCCAAAATGGAAGGTTGAAAGTTCACTTCTAGCCATAGAGACTCACTTGGGCTGATCACTATCTTTCAGCCCCTACTTCACAGAATTATTGTTCTGGAAATACTGTTGGAAAAGAACACGAAGTATATTATGCTGCCTTGAAATCCTGATGAAAAGGCAGAATATAAATATAACAAGCAAATGAGGGGCTGAAATAATTGCATAAAATAGGGGCAGGGCTTCAGTTGCGTGGTTGTGGTTACCATCTTGACTTTTTTCATCCCCTCTCTGCAGAGACCTCTGTGAATAATCTTTTAAAATTAACTAGCAGCCTTAAACTTTATTTTGGGGGGAAATGAGGTATCATGAGCAAATAAATGGGCAACACAGAAACCAGGTGAAAAACCACAAGCTTCTGAATGCTCTTCCCTCCAAGTTGTAGCAGAATGAGGAGCCTGCTAGCCAACACAGCTGAAAATGCCATTTCCTGCCTGCTACATCACCATCTTGCATCCTGTTTCTGTGCCCCCTTGTACTTTCCTTCCCTGCTTTTCATTATCTTCTTGAGTCTGTGGTCCCTCATTCATCCAACTCCACTTGGATGCATCTGAACCCAGCCTTTTTTTTCCAGTTTTGCACTCCAATCCTGACAAAGTCCCCCTTGCTGGTAGTGAGAAATCTATTTTTCAGCAGTGATAAATGCTTAAATAATTTTTCCCTGTTAATCCAATCAGTTCACTTAAGCTTTGAACAAATAGGGAATCCTCTGCTTGGCTGGTGGGCAATTTTGTCCTCTCCCACCCTTCCTCCACTTTCTGATCCTTTAGAACCGTCCTGGATACGTTACTGAACTGAGGGATGGGCTGTGTTTCAAAGCGGGCATTAGAGCTTCCTTCCTTCACTTATTTTCTTGACACTGGGTGATATCATATGAACCCAGAAAAAGATGCAGCTTCTTTAAGGCAAGTAGAGTGTAAGTACCCCCCCCCCCACCCAGTCCAGCCAGCATGCCTAATGGCAAAAGGCCCAGATTCCCCATCCTGTTATAAGAAGCATTTAAGGTAATGTAAAATTACAACAAGACAACAATGCAATAATAGAAGCTGATACAGGAAGTTTGTTCACTAGCAGAGCAGGATTCACATCTCATATTACTTTCAGATTTTTTTTTTCTTTTACTAGTAGAATCTTCTAGATGCTTCACTGGGGAAAGTCCAATGTCACTTGGCTGGAACATTTCTTCACTTGCATAGCCATCTGGCCAATTTAACATCTCTTTAGGGCACAAGATGAACTGTTTGCACTGCAGAGAGTCAATCCCACTCCCCTTTCTCAGTTTTGCTGACAAGAAGCAGTTCCATCAATGAAAACACACCGTTGGATTTCTCATCCAGTATAATTTTCTCAGCAATAGCAGTCAAATAATCTCTCTCTTCCTCTTGTGTTTTCCCTGCTGCCCCAAATCCAGTAGGTACCTACTTGCCACAGGCTGTTGGCATTGCTCTTCATCCCCATGAATGGAGATCCAGCAGGCAGAAGAGCAGTACTCCTCCTGGAGACCCCAGGAAGAGCTACCCTTTTATGCATGGCGGTTTCAATGAGGAAGACTGGGAGAAGCCCAGCAGGTATGTCAGGCTCTTTGGGAAGGACAGGGGAGAAGTGAATGAGTATTTCACCTATTGCAAGAGTCAAGCATCCGGTCATGGTTGTTTTAAGAGGGGGATGATTGTGGTGGAACAGGCTTTTAAATGAGCCTCCTCCTCTCTAAACTGTAATTCTAATTGGCATTGTCAGCACAAATTATTAAGGTATTTAAAAGTGTCAGCTTTGCTGACATAAAAGTTGATATGAAACTTTAATGAAAAGCTGTGATGCGTACATGGCAATAGTGTAGGAGGATGAAACAACTCTATCTAATCAAACTTTCATACTGGTGCTTTGTAATGCCCATGCATTTTGGGATGCAGTGTTTCATGAATGCATTAATTGAGAAGGAATTAACAATTCAGAATCTAGCAATTCTCTTGAAATCATGGAAATCTGCTTCCAAGGGAATTACTACATTCTACTTTCAAGAAATTCCCTATATGCCCTTGAAAGTGCGTACTGTTAGGGGCACAGGTAGATTTTTATAAATACAGTTGCATACCAACTGGATTGGCTGGTTTTTTCAAATGTACAGTATTGTGTAAAGACATTTTTTCCCCAAAGGTGATGTACAATGATCCCTGTGGGCGAAGCAGGTCAACCATTACTGGAAGGAGCTGAATAATGTCCCCCAAATAGGTCCTCTATTGTTAATGCAGATCAGAATTTCATCACATTCTTACCTTCATAGATTTCTATCAGTCTGAATGTTTCTATCTCCACAAGATGATAATCAGAAGTACAATGAATTTATCTTTAAAGTATTCAGATCTATTTCTAGTTTCCTGAAAATGGAATATATTATACAGAACTAAGCTTGCATTTGCATTTTGCGAGCATAATGGAGATTGCAAGTGGAACGGCAGCAGAGGCATTCTTCAGAATCCATTGGTTTGGCAAAATGATGAAAGCAGCATCTTATCATCATGATGCAAGCTCTGTTTCTTTCATATGTGTACGCAATGTCATGATGCATGTCCAAAAGAGGCCATGTTGCTTTTGTCATTTCGCTCTGGCTTGTGTGGAATAAAATGCACTTGATGTTCTGAAGTCAGCATTTGGTCTCCTTTGAATGTTCCAGTTTTGTGTCTGAAGCATTGTTTTGATAATGATGGCCTGTTATTCAGTGTTCTACATTTGATCTTTGAGTGTCAAGATTTTAATGGCCAGCTGCATAGGTGTCTGCAGGGTGTAGTCAAAAAGGTCAAGATGGCAACCACAACAATGGGATTAAAGCTCCACCTGTTTTTTTGTGTCAACAGGAAAAAGCGGGTGGAGCTTTGATCACACTGTCATGGCCCCCCATCTTAGCTTTTTTGACCACATCCTGCAGATGTCTTTGGCCCAATGTGAAAACTATTTAGGTTGCATGGTTATATGTCTAACACTATTTATTTATTTCCTGCTTGCTTGCTTGCTTGCTTGCTTGTTTGTGTGAGGAAAACGTAATAGACTTAGAACCACACAGGCAAAGAGATGTCCTGGTACTAAAAACTAACTTCCAGTCTTCCTTGTCAGCTGCAATGGTTCCTCTTTACACCAGAACAGCAGGGAGACTTCTAGAACCGAGTTTGACCTATGTTACCCAGTCTGATTCTTGCCCAGTTTTCAAGCAGAGATTGGTTTGATAGCTTGAAATTGTCAAGGAGACAGAATTGGTTTCCTCTGATATCTCAGGGATACTCCATCTGAAAATGGTCTACTAATGAGTCCCTTGCCCAGGGAAGACAGCCAAGAAGGCCCAGCCAAAGGCCCTCGCATTGCTTGGATCATAAATCTTTGAGGTGGGATTCCAAAATGCCAGAAGTGACCTCCTGGTGGATGGACATGAAAGCAAAGGCAGTCTGAGAGAAAAGAACTCTGTAACTAAGGTTCGGGGGGTGGAGGGAGGAACAGGTTGAGATGAGGCTGTAGCAGCAACAACAAAAGGCAGTGGCGTAAAATTAAAAAACAAACCTTAGTTCAACATTCTGTCTATTTGTGTTACAGTTTTTTGTAGTGTTAAACCATTAAAACAATAATCATTCCCTTAGCATGGATTTCCAAAACCATTTCATGACTTTAGTTCATTTGTAATCCCTGTTTTCCCTTTCAAGACCTGATAAGTGACACCAAAACCTGGTGTGCGGCTTCTTGGAGGAAGAACGCCGGGCCTTGTTGTTTGGTTTTCCAACCTAGGAAACTGGCTAAAGCAAAGATGGTTTGTTTGCCCCAGGTGGAGCAGCGCTCCTTGGTTTTCCCAGCACTAAAGTCCAGTTCATCTCATGTCAGGGCTGAAGAAAAGATTCTGCTTTCCCTGTAACAATTCCTCCTAAATGCAGGGCCTTCTTCTTCTTCTTCTTCTTCTTCTTCTCCTTCTCTCTCTCTCTCTCTCTCTCTCTTTTTCCTGCTTGAGAGGAAATGGCAGTCACTCACTTTTAGAAGGGAGAGAGTAAAATGTTGCACTAGAGAATACAATCCAGGGGAGGACTAGAACTTCTTTCTTTCCCAAGTTAACTCTGCCACTTAATCTGAAGCTCTCAAGAATTAAGCCTGGTTCTGTCTGCTTGCCCTGTTCCGGCTGTATATTTTGGTATATTACAGCGTAACTGAATTTGGGGGAAGTTAGTTCTTACATATTGGGAGTGGCATTGTCCCCAACATTTTAACCTAACCGTGGGGCTGCTTGCCCTGAGTTGCTCATAGCCCTTCTTGGTTATTCCATGTTCATTTATTTATTTACTTAAGCTGCCTTCCCCAACCTGGTGCTCGCTGGATTTGCTAGCTGCAATTCCCAGAATTCCCTAACTAGCCATTGAGCATGATGGCTAGGAATTCTGGGAGCTGCAGCCCAAACACGTGTGAGAATGCCTGTAGGGGAAAGTTACATAAGATGATGGGACTGGGGGGGGGGGTGCTGATTTACCCCCTTTTTTTGAAAAGGGGTGGATAACAATAAGCATAACTCTTTCTGCTCTACTATAATATATTTTCCACCATTTCATATAAAGAGAAGGGACATTAGAATAGTTTTAAACTGCAATATATTGGAAATAAAAATCTTGAGCAATGAAAATAAGGAATGAAATGAAACCTATGTGGTTTTTGCATACAGGCCCTGCTCAGTCCTCTGTATGAAGTTGTGCTGACCGTTTAATTGCTTGCCTAGTCTAGGGAAAATCATTTTTATATACATCTTTTTTACATTATATGCTCCCCTAGAGACCTGATGTATTTACCATTTTCTCACCATGTCTGTTACCCTCTGTGTTTTTCTCTCTCTTCTCAGGTGTTCTGTGTCTCAGATCTGAATTCTGTCCCATCCGCCTTTGTACTAACAGTCTCTGAGGCTCCTGGTTTACCCATCATGCATCCTTTTTTTCTTTTACTTCTCTATCTCACCAAAACGTCTTCCTAAACCTACAATCTTCCTACAGGCACTTCTTAATTTGCCCTTTTGAACTTGACATTGCTACACCAGTTTAATTCTTCCTTTTGAAGGACTTTTGCCCTGTTAGTGAAAGTGCATGGAGGTTCTGTACTTGGACTCTTTCTTGCCTGAGAAATTCATGTTGTTTGCTTTTGTATATGAAGACTCTGCCAAGTCTCTGCTTTTACTGGCGAGCCACTTGCTGTAGCCTTGAAGCTTCCGTCCTGCTCCAGAAGAGTGCTGACAATCTTTGGTTCCTACGTTACAACAGATATCCCACCCGCCAAAATGGCCTTGAGATGCCACATGAGGATAATTTTTGGCGCGTTTTTGGAGAAGCTTTGGAGGACTTGGAAACATGCGGCCAGTCTGAACTTTTGAGGGAGATTGAGGTAATGAATCTTTGAAAGCAGGCATGCCTAGCTCTTCTGTTGCTGCTGTGCCTACAGAGTTTTCCCCTTTCTACTTGTGAGTGTCTCTCTGTCATAGTGCATAGAGCAGGGAGCAAAGGTAGGGAGAACAACCTGTATTACCTTTACTCGGCCCAGCCAAGAGGCCCAAACTGTTTGTGCTTCCCTTCAAAGTAAGATCACAAGAAGCTTACAGGATACGTCTGGTTTATAAGTATAAAGTAGTGCTTCTCGCATGTTCTGCCATCATGGATGGATGTTCAGAAAATGCAGGGACCAGCCAATTAAACCAACATACCCTCCCTAATTTTTTGTCTTGAAGAACATGGGACTTCACATTTTTCAGCAAATAAAATAATGATTATGGGTGCCTTTGGGTATGTCTTCCCATCTCCTCCATTTTAAGGGTTTTCTTAAAATTGACTTTTGTAACTCCCCCTCCCAAATTAATGCAAAATTATATATTGATTTGCATTGATTCGCTCTATGTACCACATGCCATATAATAACAGTACATAGAAGATTAGGGCCAAATGCCCTCCAGCCCAATGAAACTGCACTTTTGGATACTGATCACTGCATTTCCTATTTGAACTTTTGGTTTTGGGTTGCTTGTGTGAGATCACAGTTCCATTTAACTCAAGACGGACTTAACACTCGTAACAGCTCTCAAGACTTGTCCATGTTGTAAGTTTCCTGTACTTTAGCACTCACATTGCTTATGTATTATCACTTGAACACTTCAGTGAACTAGTTTTCAGATGGATCCATTTTTGCAAATGATTACAGTCCAGCATGATAAGTAACAGCAAAAAAGAACTCCACAAATATAAAAAATGCTTGTGTAAACCGGAAGCAGCAGAAACAAGCACTGATCCATCGCTTTGTAAAAAGCAAGCAGGTTGGGAACATTGCAACTTCCTACCTTTCCCTGTTAGTGATACTGTCTCAAGGGCTCCATATAAGAATAAGAAAAAAATGTCTCATAGAATGTCTCCCACAAGTCTGTGAGCTTCACAGAGAGAAATCTCTTGATGAACATTGTGCAACATTGCCCTGGAGATGCTCACGGCATCAAAGGAGCTGACAATACCAGAGAATTTCAAGGGACTTAGCGAAACATTCATTCTTTCCACCTCAAGATATAGGGGCAGCTGCACTGAGGGACCAAAGCCATGAAGTTTAGGGTCTTGGGCAACAGTAGATATGAGATGCAAGAAATAAGTAACAAAGGTATTTGGTTTATTTCAGCAGTTTTAGTAATCAATTCCCACTCACTCCCTCGTGCATGCAAGCATAATTAATATCCCATAACCAGGCTGGCCAGGTTTTGGTTTGGAGGCAGGGAAGATGGTGTGTGGCAGGTAGACAACCTGGGTCAGAAGTCTTCTGGTGAACTCCTTGATTCCATCCTCCTTGTTGTTGTTTCCTTCAGCATTTCATACACTGTTCATGAGCACTGTCTCTGAGTACATGCTTCCTTTTTCAATTGAATTTGCTCTTAAGCTATTTTCAGAAGTGTACTCCTCTAAACCACTTCCCGCTACGTGTTGACCTTAGAATAACTGGTTTTCTGTTATTGCTACGCAGTTCTTGTCTTCCCCGTGATGACACAGAGTTCACTATGGCTTTCCTTTGATTCCTGCTTTAGGCTTTTTATAATAATAGGCAGTGAATGTGGGGAGGCAGGACGTAGGCAATAAGCAGATTGCTGGCCGGCTGACTGGAGGTGATTACAGGGGAGGTTGCAGACCAGACCACCTGGTAGACTCACCAGTGGTCTGTAGACCACAGATTGAGAATCACATATATAAAAATAGCAACAAACTTACAGACTTGTTCAAACTGTGTTCACTGTGTTCCCCAAAATTCAGAGTAACCTTTTATAAGGTTGGTAGTCCAGCTGCTTGACACTCCTTGCATAACATTGCCCAGACAAAAAGTGGGTCTGTTGTCTTCTTCCTACTCGAAAGATGACTCATGACTTGCTTGAAACAATCACATTCCTTCTAAGCCTCAGGGGAGCTACTTTGCATAACAGGGCAACAATGACTTGGAACTTTATGACACTGCCTATTCACATACTCTATTGGCTGGATCCAGTGGACATTTCTTATTGCCACAGAGGCAAGTGGACTCATGATAAAGCTTGGACAGAAATTGCCATTCAGTAGCAAACAAATCTGAAGCATATTGATCAATGTTGTCTTCCAGTGTCTCAGAATATCTTTGTGTTTTCTTATCTCTCTTTTGATGGAGAGGATGCTAGACATATGGAAGAGCTGGCAAAATGTGAAATTACTTTAGCAGAGCTCTGGGTATTTGTTGGAGAAGGCAGAACTTAAGATCTGCAGGGCTTTGTTTCATATCAACATAAACTTCACAAGATTTCCTTTCTCTTGTATTACTGATCCCATTCTATTGTTTTTCTTTGGTTCTGTTTCCCCATAGGCATCCATCATGACTGGGAGTGTACATAATCTGAGTCTTGATGGGGGCAAGTTGCCCAGGAACTCTGTGAACCAGTCAGGACTGAGCCCAGCAAGGAAAAGTAACCTCAAGAGCTCAGGTGAAGGGCAGAGCAACAGCAGCGTGACCCCTACCAAGAATGACAAGAATTTGGAGATAAAGATGATAAAGGATGAGATTCAAGAAATCATGTCTCCAACTCCTCTTGAGCTGCATAAAGTATGTGTGTGTGCATATGTGCATGCTGAATAATGGTTTCACAGTATGTGTGGCATCTGTGAGGTATCTCTCATGAGCCTTGGAATTTTTTTTATTTTTGAAAGAGCTAAAGAAAATACAGTGGCTGCTTCATTGGCTGCTTAGTTCTGTCTGAGCACCGAATAGTAGGGAGTGAAGCATTCCACTAGGCCCATACCATCAAGGGTCCTCCTGTAGGGATTCAGCCTCTCCTCCCATTCCCTTGGAACAACACTGACTTAGATAACAGGTCAGTGGGAAGTGCTAAGGTTGGTCCCTCCATCTCTAGGGAAGCCTGGAAATTCTACTGAGTAAAACCATGGAAGGTCACCACTGACTACTGGCCACCACTGGCCACCACTGGCCACCACTGCTTAGTATAAGGCAGCCTCCAGTGACAGGAAAAGCAGGTCTTATCTGCCACCAGTATCAGAGGAATGAAGTCCCCCTTGTGCCCAGAATAAGAAGAGAATCTCTACCATGTCTTTCATAATTGCTCTAAATATCATGTTATTGGTGTCAGCCAGAGATTGGGTGGGGATTCCTGCACTGGACCCACAATGATGTTTTCTTTTTCTCTGTTTATCATTCTGAAAAACTTGAAGTTCAAAATATGAATCCTGTGGTTATCAGAGATATCTAATGACATGTAAACCATTAACCTCTTGAATGGGAATATTTACTCTGGCATGGACCTTTCCCACAAGATTTTTGGTTACTGGAATTACTTCAAGATTTAGTTAAAAATCAAACACTCTATTTACACAGTCAAGGGTTCATCTGGGGGCAAGCTGAGGCAACCTGTTTTGAACTGGAGCATTCCCTTTCCTATTTTTGTTTGTTTTGTTGGTTAAAACTGAGATTATTCATTTAATGTCTCCATTTAGTCTGCTACCTTAAAAATGATGCTGATAATTTGCTTAACTAGCCTTATTCTGTGTAATAAGCAATTTCATGGTCTTTCAGTCATCATTATTATGGACAGATGTTAGAAAACAAGCCTAATTCCCACATCTTGCCTTTATTTTATTACCTCAATGAATATATCTCAATGGGCCTTCCAAGGTGTGAAATCTGCATTATCCCATTTTTACAGCCCTCTTGGTTCTCCAGTTGTTTTTCTCAGGGGGAAAAAAAACAGCAGGAGCCATGATAATATATTAAGAAATTCGATAAAATGAGGCTAGTTTTATTTACAGTAAGCGTGGAAACCGATCCTGGCATCCTCTTTAGAATCACCAAGTTAGAAGCGGCCAGTCAGACCACTGAGCTACTTGCCCGATGCAAAGTATCTACAACAGAAGGCTGACTAACCTCCACTTGTAAACACTGAGTGAATAGGAGCCCGCTGAGTAATTAATTCCACCATCAAATTTTTACTACTGTTAGAGAGTGTTTTCCTAATATTCAGTTAGAACATTCTGTTAGAATCTGTCTTCCTATAGCTTACATCTGTTATCCAAGTCTCAACTTTGGTGTGTCATCCTTTCAGATATTTAAAGGGTACCATCATACCTATTTCGGTTGGCTAAACATTCCCAACATCTTCACTCTTTCTTCAAAGGATGCTATTTCTAGCTCTCTGATCATCCTCATTGCCCTGCTGTAAACTACCAGTTTCTCTGAATCCTTCTTAAATGCTATGCCTGGAGCAAGATGGGGTTTGGTGTGAGATCTGGCCAAAGCAGAATAAAGGGGAACAGTTCTCGTGATCTGGAAGTTGTACTTCTGTTGTATCTAAAATTGCATTTCTCTTCTTGTCAGCCCCATCACATTGCTGATGCTTATTCCATTTGCAATCAACTACTATTCCAAGTTTTTTTTTTTCATAAGTGTTATTATCAACCTAGGTATCCTCCATCCTGTTACCTATGCATATGATTTCTGTTTAAAGTTAAAGAATTTAACTTTACATTTGTCTCTGTTAAATTTCATTCTGTTATTTTCAGCCTGTTTTCTGGCATCAAGGTTGCTCTTTTTTCTGTCTAAGATATTGGCTATCCCTCCCAATTTTGTGTCATTTGGTAATTTGATAACAAGCATTCCTTAAGTGTCCCCTTCATCTCTTCATCCAATTCATTAGGAAAATGAAATATAGATAGTCCTCGCTTAACATCCACAATAGGGACTGGAAAATTGGTTGTTAAGCAAGTCACCATGTGACCAGACCCAATTTTATGACCTTTTTTATGATGGTCATTAAGCAAATCACATGGTCGCTAAGCTAGTCCAGCTTCCCCAATGGACATTTTTTGCCAGAATTGTATTTATTTATGTATTTATTTATTTATATTTCAAATTTAGATACCGCCAATCTCACAAAAAGTGACCAAAAATTTGCTTAAGACTGTCTTAAAAAAGGTTGCAAATTGTGATCACATGACTGCAGGAGGTAGTGCAATGGTTTGTGATGGTTGTGTGAGTACAGTGGTACCTCGGGTTACA